TGACTGTGGGTGCAATGAAGGCTGAGAATGACCATGGGGATCCCTGCTCACAAGCTTGAGGCACTGAGGACGGATTCAGAGCACAGGTAGCAAGAAGCATGGCAGACATACCACATGGCTGAAACTGTGACTGCATTCCTAATAAAATTCATTGGAAACAGGATTGACTGGGCTGAGAGAAGGCAGGGGAGAAGGACATATTGTAGGCTCAGGAACAGAGCAGCTGTGGTTGCAGGGCAGTGATAAGTCTGAAAAGTATCCCATCAAAATATGTTCACAGTGATGTTGAACGGGGATTAAGTATTGTCAGCAGTTTTACCTGCTTGGCGTGCACGCTGTGTGCGTTCCTGTGTAAAATGATTGTGCAGGTGCTAATTTTGTAATTGTTATGTCTTCAGCTACTGGGGGAAGGGTTGGTGCTAAGACAACAAAGTGGGGCTAGGGCGATGAGAAGTATAGAAAAACATTTACTGAACTTGTGGGTAAGCAACTGACCACTGTGTGGACAATATTACTTCTCAGAAATAAAAGCTGAACGGTTTTTTTTGTTTGTTTCTGTGTTTTTCTTTTTGCCTTGAGAGTTGGCATCAGAAGATCAAAGTGTCTGTTTATCCATGCCAGCCTTTCCTAGGCAGAGAACTGTTCAAATCTGGGAGGAAGAAGCCTTAACATTTGTGTTCTCAGATAGATCTTTTTATGCTTTTGGAGTGCTTTACAGCTGCTTATCTTGGAGTGCTGTAGCAAGCCACTTGCAGGCTGCAAGAGCTCACTGGAAAGCTCACTGAGATGCAAAAGCAATATCACCTTGTACTGTTGAGCACTATAAACAGCTTGGACAGGGCCTGCTGGATGAATCCCTGGGGCTCTTTCTTTTGGTGGTTTGCAGTCATAAATAGTTTTACTGGAATGGGGAAGCTGGAAAACCCATCCCAGTCATGCAAATGTTAGGTTTTCCTAGGTTCTTTCCCAAGTAAGCGCAAGTGACTGATATATCCCAGCACTGTCTTTATCTGCTTCATAGAGTTGGCTCCTGCTGTCTCCCACACAGAGTTATAAGGTTGGTTTTAAAGTCCAAAATCTCTCTCTCTGATTACTGAAGCATTCCACTGTTTTCCTGGAAAACCCCTATAAAATTCTGCTGTGAACTGGTATCAGGAAAGTCAGCAGGGGACCTATGCAAGCTGTTTCATTATCTGAGGTCTATTGCCTGATTCAGTTCAGAGGAGCCTGGCTCGTTGCAGATGTACTCGATAGCGTGCCGTCCACATCCTGGCCCAGTTCATCACAGAAAATCATTTTCAGAAGTTTTTCCAGCTCCCTTCAGGGAACTGTATTCCACAGCATAATATACTATGCTACTCCTAAAATCCCTTTCAGTCTTACTGCATCTAATGATATATCCTTAAACCCTTTTCACCATTCCAGACCTTTCTTCATGGACAGTGTATTCAGAGAATGATGGTGCATGGTATGGGGTTTTTTTAGTATTTGTGAATAAATACAGGACTCACAATATGTAATGGAAAAGGTGATGGAAGTTGACTGGGTTTTTGACATACCCTCAATCAGCAGTGCTGTTACTGTCACAAGGAATTTGGTAAATGACAACATGCTCTTTCTAGCTGATGAGTTGGTAGGAAACCAAGAGGAAATTCTACTCTCTGGAATTTAAGGTTCCTGAGGGGGGAACTTAATTACTAAGGGATTTAATTTTCCTGTGGGCAAGTTGTGTGTGAAGGGTCTGTCTCTTCTCCACCATGTTCTTAGATAGTAACTAAATTCTCTCATCACCAATATGTTTGTTGTTGGTTTTTTTTCTTCTTGTAACAGGATACTGACCTCTCGCCTGTGAGAACAGCATTTCTGGACCTGCTGACAGCCTCTACTACTCAGCCTTACCTAGCGCCATGTCAGGTGAGCAGACAAAAATGGACACAGTATAGATGAAATAGATGCTTTTGTCCCTTACTACTGAGTAAAAAAGCAGAGAGGCCAAATGGAGTTCCCTCCAAGAAAGGGACTTTTAGGGAAGAGGAATAGTTCCATGGCATCGTGTTTTAGTTTTAGGCATATGAAAAACAATGAGGTGGTTGGTGACAGCCAACATGGCTTCACTAAGGGCTAATCATGCCTGACCAGTATGGTGGCCTTCTATGATGGAGCCATAGAACTGATGGACAGGGACAGAGCAGTTGACATCATCTACCTGGACTTCTGCAAAACATTTGACACTGTCCTGCACGACATCCTTGTCTCTAAATTGGAGAGACATGGATTTGAGGGATGGACCACACAGTGGATAAAGAATTGGCTGCATGGCCACACACAGAGTTGCCGTCAACGGCTCCATGTCCAACTGGAGACGGGTAACAAGTGGTGTCCCTCAAGGGTCAGTGTTGGGACCGATCCTGTTCAACATCTTTGTTGGTGACATGGACAATGGAATTGAGTGCACCCTCAGCAAGTTTGCCGACGACCCCAACTGTGTGGCTCGGTTGATACGCTGGAGGGAAGGGATGGGATCCAGAGGGACCTGGACACGCAATGTCAAGATGGGCAATGCCAACCTCATGAAGTTCAACCAAGCCAAGTGCAAGGTCCTACGTCCGTGTCAGGGCAATCCCAGGCACAGCTACTGGTTGGGCAGAGAAGAGATTCAGAGCAGCCCTGCGGAGAAGGACTTGGGGGTGTTGGTTGATGAGAGGCTTTACATGAGCCGGCTTCAGTGTGCGCTTGCAGCCCAGAAACCAACCGTATCCTGGGCTGCATCAAAAGTAGCATGACCAGCAGGTTGAAGGAGGTAATCCTGCCCCTCTACTCTGCTCTTGTGAGACCCCACTTGGAGTATTGTGTGCAGTTCTGATGTCCTCAACATAAAAAGGACATGGAGCTGTTGGAGCAAGCCCAGAGGGGGCCACAAGGATGGTAAGGGGGCTGGAGCCCCGTATGAAGACAGGCTGAGAAAGTTGGGGCTGTTCAGCCTGGAGAAGAGAAGATCTGCTGAGACCTCAGAGTAGCCTTCCAGTATCTGAAGGGGGTCTACAAGGATGCTGAAGGACTCTTCATTAGGGACTGTAGCAATAGGACAAGGGGGAATTGGGTTTAAAATTAAACAGGGGAAGTTCTGGTTAGATAGAAGAAAGAAATTCTTTACTGTGAGGGTGCTGAGGCACTGGAACATGTTGCCCAAAGAAGTGGTAAATGCTCCATCCCCGGCAGCATTCAAGGCTAGGCTAGACAGAGCCTTGGGTGACATGGTCCAGTGTGAGGCATCCCTGTCCATGGCAGGGGGTTGGAACTAAGTGATCTTAAGGTCCTTTCCAACCCAAATCATTCTGTGATTCTATGAATCTGTGATCATACGATCTTTCTACTGCTTGGAAAAGCTGCACGATCAGTGCCAAGCCCGGGAAACCATTACCCCAAAACAGTGTTTCTCTCCTTACTTGCTTTGTTGGTGAAGTGGGAGCTGTTTCAATGTCTAGAGTAGCAGTAGTGACAAACTGTTGAGTGAGTCCTTCCCCTGCTGAAACAGCTTGTACTCAGTCTGTGTCTTCTAAGGGAGTCCTTCCAGGTTTTCACTGCTGTGTGTTGATCTCTTTCTGTTTAGGCCATCACACTCCCTCTGCCGGGGGCCCCTTCTCAGCACTCACTCCCAGCATTTGGCCTCAGGAGATCCTGGCAAAATACACACAGGTACAGTGTGGGGCAGGGAACAGGGTGTTCTCTGGCTGTGCAAAGAAGGGACCCTGGTGGTTTCTGGTGGTCTCTGGAAGCTGCAGAGAAAAGGAGGGAGAGGTGTACTTTTACTCCAGTGGTTGGTTATGGATGCTTGTTTGCTACTTAAACTTACTCTGTTTTGCGGCTGCATCCTGGCTCTTGCAAGAGCATCTTGCAGAGCACAAAGAAACTTGTGTGAATTATTGCCCTGCTGTTTTGCAACTATTGCTCCACTTTGAATATGTTGACACCCTCAGGGAGTCTCTGTCATCATCGAGCTGCTCAAGATGCTAGCCTCAAGACTTGTCATCAGGTGGGCAGAGCAGGAAGGAAGGGAGCAGCCATGGAATTTTGTAACTTACCCGCAGTGTTTCCTGAAAGCAGTTGGGCCCAGTAAAGCAGATTAAAGCTTATTGTGGAGCTACGCTAGAAGCACACTTCTTGGGTGCTGCCTGGGTGTAATGCTTGTGGGAGACCACACAGGAAGGGCAGGGGGCCTTGCAGGGAAGGGGAGGTATCTGTAGGTTTTCACTTCAAAAAAAAATCCTGGTTGTAACCTCCTACAATGCCAACCATCAGCATAGATGAGGAAAGTTGAGATTTGGGTCATGGACCTTAATATTTTTTGGCCTATAATTTGGGCTTGCTTCACAGGTGCAAATCCCAGTTTTACCTGCTGTCTTTCAGAGAAAATCTGAAAGCAAGAGGCAGGAGATGGAGCAATGCAGGGAGCTGAATTTTCAGTGTGTGTGCAGAGGTAACACACAGGACTGCTGTGTATTAGAGATGCAGACAATAGAGACCACTTCAGCTGGTGTGTGTAGATTTCTCAGTTCATGAGGAGGGCTGCATGCCCCTCCAGGTGGAAAGTTCTGGTCTTGATAGGATGCTGGAGAAAGGATTGCTGGGAAGATCTGTCCAGGTGTGAAGGCAGGGCTTCACAACTTCTACGGAGAAGTCAGAACGGGAATGGCATGCTTACTTGCTATACTTTCAGCTGGGAATTGTGGTGGGAGGCATTGAAAATGAAAAGGGCAAGGAAGTCTAGTCTAGTCACTCAGAGGGCACGGTGTGGACAGTGGTGGGATGGAGCAATATCCAGATGTCTCTGTTCAGTTGTTCAGTGCTAAAGTGTCTATTCTCCTTCTTCACATCTTGTAGAAAGAAGAATCTGTCGAGCAGCCAGAGTTCCACTATGATGAATTTGGTTTCCGAGTTGATAAGGAAGGTAAAACCAGTCCCAGCCCTCCCTTCCCCTTCCGTTGTGTCCTGTGTCCAGCCCTTTCCATGCTTCCGAGTATGGCAGGGTGATTTTACAACCATTCTGTGCCAAGTCTCATCTACCCATCTGTAGACATCATTCTGTATCCTACCATTGTAACTGAGCGTGTTGGACATGCTGGTCTTACGGGGGTCTGGAGCATAGACTATGCAGCAGAGTCATTTCTATCCCCTTATGCTTGTGCTGTGAGTAAGAGGGAGACCTATTGCAGCTGGGCATTGAACTGCAATAGCTGGCTGCCTTTGCAAAGAGGAAGAGAAAGGAGTGGGGAGAGTAGGAATGGCTTTTGTGCTCAGAGAGAACATTTCTAGGTCTCAGGCCGTACAGTGCAAGGGCAGAAGTTGTTCGCATGTAAGCACTGAGGCACCTTGAGTCATAGAGGATCCTCTTTGAAGCAGTGACCTGGAGATGAGGACAGGACACAGCGATTTTCTTCAGCTAGAACATTTGATTGACTTGTGCTTTATAAAATCAGCAGAAAGATTTGGACTGCATTGTTGGGATGTGTTATATGGTGAAGGACAGAGTGCCTTACGTCAAACCTGTACTTCTGCTGAGGTATCTATTTTAGAAAGCTTCAGGTTAAGGTGCTCTCTCATTGTGAATTTGGAAGTGTTCTTGTTAAAGCTATTTTGGTGATTAAATATCCACAAAGTTAAAATTTTGCACCTGATTACTTGCATGAGCATATACCTTCTGCTTGCCACCTCTGAGGCTTGCTACGCTTTTGTCAGCCTGATTTACAGATCTGTACAAAACCCAGTAGGATGACTGCTGCCAAGGTCTTGTTTAATTCCAGCCACACTCCATTCTAAATCATGATTAAGTAGAGACTAGAAGCCTGCTGACAGCTTCTTAGTTCTCAAAGCCCCAGTGCCTTTTGCTTATGACCATAAAATTTGCTGCATGGAGAAGACAGAAACCGAGCTTTTCCTTTCCATGCTCAGGCTGGAAGACGTGAACGTTTTTAATGTGCTCTCTTTGGATGGCCGTCCTACTCCCTCCCCTATGTTCATGCCCTCTCCTGTTTGCCTCTTTCACATGTTTCTGGTTTCTTTCCCTTCCCTTTGCTGAGGCAGATGGTGCTGAGCCAAACTCCAGCAAGCTCCTGGGGATCCCACTGACAGAGGAGCCACAGCAGAGGCTCAAGTGGCAGGCTCACCTGGAATTTACACATAACCATGACGTGGGTGATCTCACCTGGGACAAAATTGAGGTCACCCTACCTCATTCAGACAAGCTGCGCTCCCTGGTGCTAGCTGGCATCCCGCATAGCATGAGGCCACAGGTGAGAGTGCTGCCTGTTCTGGGCAGGCACTGTGCTCCTGCCTGGAGTAAGAGACGGTGGAGCAAGACCATTTTCTCTTGGTTGAAAGGGTGTCAGATTTTGGCTTTCTGTGGCTGTCTTAGTGACCCCTCCTGTCTTTGTTCACCGTGTTCCCCCAGCTGTGGATGCGCCTGTCAGGAGCCTTGCAGAAGAAGAGGAATTCAGAGATGTCGTATCGGGATATTGTGAAAAACAGCTCTAACAATGAAACCATTGCTGCCAAACAGGTAGGAGTCAGCACTGCCTTATGCTGACTGGGCACAAGGGAGTGGGAAGAAGGGCAAGATTTGCTGTGTGAGGAGGAAGGGGTCTCAAACTTGCAGCAGGGACAGTTGAGAGGACATGTGTGGTTGAATCTTGCTAAAGCTTAATCTGGTTGCGCATTTTTCTTCTTTGCTTTGTTGGATTAGCAACTGTGCAGCTCCCCTCCTTCTAAGAGCTTCAGAGGAGGGGTTTGATCCATACTACCTGCAGTAGCTACAGTTGTATCTCAGCAAATATCCTGATATTCATTGAGGAAAGTGGAGGTTGAAAGGCTGACAGATGCACCTTTGTTGAGGTAGTGGCAGCTGTTCCCAGGGACTGTCTTTGTTCACCCAAACACAAAGTCTCTGAACACCAACAAAATTGTTACAGGGTGCTTTCCCTTTTCCTCTGACCTCCTTTTTTGTGGGAGGAGGCAAAGGAAAAAGAAACTGAGCTCTGCACACGTTCATCCATCACCAAGAAGCTAGATTCAAAATGGTTGGAAGAAGGAACAACATTGCCCAAGGGAAATGTCTGGGCTGTTCACCTCCAAGTCCTCTGTCACAGATATGGCAAGGTTGTTGGTTTCTCTCTGGAATAGGGTCATTGGAAAGCCTTCCTTGAAATCGAAGCAGATGAAATTCCCAACTAGTATGCTTGCTGTTCTTAGTGGTGAAACTAGGAGTTGAGTTTAGGCAAGTATTTCTTGCAAGTCACCAAGTCACTGTGTCTCACACGTCAGTGAAGGCTATTAAACAGACCCCAGGTGCTTGGGCAAGCCACCTTCTTTGGTGCCTAGGGACTTAGGGATGGGTGTGGGGAAGCAGAGTTCCCTGAGGCAAGAGGCCATGGGGAAGTGCATAGAGCAGAAGCAGTTGATCAGATAGTGCAAGCTGACTCTGTCCTTGTTTATGGCTGTCCGGCAGATCGAAAAGGACTTGCTACGCACAATGCCCAGCAACGCCTGCTTCTCCAACATGAACAGTATCGGGGTGCCACGGCTACGCAGGATACTACGTGGACTTGCCTGGCTCTACCCAGAGATTGGATATTGCCAGGGCACTGGCATGGTAACCTGCTTTCAGAGTGTCTTTGTGATAGGGATAGTTTTGTCTGTGGTTGCTACATGGGGGCAAATGATTTGAGACAGTACTGCCAGACACTGTGGCTTCCAGGTGAGCTGAAAGGAAATCCCTTCCACGTGGAATATTCTTCCTTGGGAAGGGAGTGCAGAGTAGCACCATGCATCTGATGATGTAGAGAAATTCAGTCCATCTGTTGGGGAGGGGCAGGCATTACACTCAGAAGAAACCCCTTTAGTGAAGACTCTAGGAGAGCTGCTGTAAAGGAAGGAAGATGTTCGTCACCTAGATACTGGTCCGTCTGTCCACATGAGGAAGTGGGGAAAGATTTCTGCTCCTCTTAGGACATGCATTTTTTCTTCCTTCAAAATCCTAGATGGCTGCCTCTCTGCTGCTCTTCTTGGAGGAGGAAGATGCCTTCTGGATGATGTGCGCTATCATCGAGGAACTGGTTCCTGCCTCCTACTTCAGCACCACCCTGATGGGCGTGCAGACAGACCAGCGTGTCCTGCGACAGCTCATTGTGCAGTACTTGCCTCGCCTGGACAAGCTGCTCCAGGAGCATGACATTGGTAAAAGTGTGCCCTAGAAACCAGAGCTTTTCTTGCCAGGGTGACATGCAGACAAAGATTATTGTTCTTGTTTCACAAAGGAAAAGAAGCAGGGCGAGGAGCAAACCTCCTGGCCCTGGAGGCAATGCATGGTCATCTTTTAGCTGAGAGGACAGCACCTAGGAGAGTCCCTCTCCACTGTTTGGCTGACTTTTTATGTTGTTATTCTTTTACGTATCTTTGTTCACAGAGCTCTCCTTGATCACCTTGCACTGGTTCCTCACGTCTTTCGCTAGTGTTGTTCACATCAAGCTGCTGCTGCGTATTTGGGACCTATTCTTCTACGAGGGTTCTCTGGTGCTGTTCCAGCTCACTTTGGGCATGCTCAGTATGAAGGTAACTCCCACCTCCTCTTCCTCCTTTATAGTACTTCTGTGTTTAATCCTGAGTTTTAGGGGCAAGAAGGTTCTGTATCCGCTTCCTGTATGTGGTTTAGGAGTGTGCTAGGGAAGACGACTTCCTGCTGCCTTCAGAAATGGAGGCTGTGAAAAATTTCCAAGGCACTATGCAGAAGTCAGAGAATCCTGGTTTTTCTCTCATAATTAAGCCCCATCAGCTGCCCTTTCTGTTCAGTTTAAATTCCAACTTGAGAGTCCACCTTAGCTAAACCAAGACACCTCTTGATTTTGCACAATCTGTGAGCAGAGACTTAAAGCAGAGATTGTGATCATCTGGGAAGCTTTTGATGGCACTATTGAATGCTCCAAGAGATTAGCATTGTCCTGACCACATGTGATTTGGCTGATCTACCTGATTTAACCTCCTGATCTTTTCCTTTTTATGTGAAAAATAATTTTGTGGTTCAGCTTTTTGTTTGATGAGCAAGGGTGAGCCTGCTGGGAGTAAGGGGAAGGTGGAGCAGTTTGGCATGGTAGGCACTCTATAGCATATGAGACCAAGCATCTTCCGTCCTCTTATCCCCAGCAAGATCTCTGCTGTGTCCAGTCCTAGTGGTGGGTGCAGAATAGCTTTGATTTTGTCTTTCCTTGCTGATTTGATTTCCTTTAAATGATGAATGCTGTGATTCAAAAACATTCCAGCTAGAATTCTGGGGGGAGGTCTCAGTGCAGTAGAGCAGTAAAAGGTTCTGTTCACCTCCCAAAGG